AAGTTTTGCCTCTTTGTTGCCATCTCTGTTTGAAACCTGCAATTGCAGTTATTTGCAAGAATTATCTTCCTTGCAAGTGGGTTGTGCACTGGCACGGCTCCAGCGCGGATTAATCTAATGTGTGGCTTGTGGATACTGTACTTCGGAATCACAGATTCTAGCCTACGTCTTGGAATATATGACCCAAATAAGAATTTTCACCGGATATTGTCATCCAAACAGTAAGTAACAAGTCTGACACTTTTGTTCTGACCAGCTGAGGAAAAAAGCATTACAATAAATCGTGCTACAATGGTGATTAAATCTAATGATCACTTAGCTCATATCACATCAAAGCGTGCAAATTATTATTACTGTTATACTTTGTTCTCAAATTGTTTGTTAACAACATCAGCATTACGTGACTACATGTATACATGTAGATTTCAATTTCTGTACAGTCTAATCTCTAATTGTCATACCACTTGAATTTCATATAAAGAAATTCTTTTAACCCACAAAGCCAATTATTCTTCCTTAGAACTGGTTCTCTTTAAAATACAAAACTTGTGTAATCCCACGTTGACTATCTGTAATCAGATGCACATTTAAAACTGGAATATAATTTAATTTCAGTCACATGTGTTTCATAAACACATAATCCTTTCTGGATTACAATCCGCCATCAAAATTATACATTTAATTATTCTAGCTGCTGTGAGAAAAGGCTATAAACGATCCACGACCTGCAGGATCCTCACATGCGATAGCCTAGTAGCCGGGACAACTTCTTTATGTTTACAGACGTGACGTAATGATGCGGCAGTATGCTCGAATTTACCGCGAAAACCTACCCATACCACTCAAATTAGAAAACACTATTATAAGCTAACCGTCGTGAATCGAGCTAAAGTAAGGCGATAGTTTTGAACACTGTACTTGCTCAAATATTGATTTCGGATCATTTTTAACCAAAAAAAGTTACAGACTGCAGCTTTAAGGAATCCAGGATCCATGGCTTCAAAAGTTTGAAAACCCCTGATTTAACAATTTGGGATAAACGACACAATGGTGATAGTTTTGAGGAATCACCCCTTGTGGGCTGTGAACTTGCAGCCATTTGGTTCATAAGCCATGAATCTAATAAGAACACTACACCAGCCTCAAAATTCACATTCACATGACAATCTAAAGTTAAAGTTACAGTATTAGTCCAAAATCCAGCATTCTAAATTACTATAAATTCCAGCAAATTGTCTCTAGTTTCTCCTGCTGTCATATGACCTACACAGATCAGTCTCACAGCTCACATACATTTAATGCAGCTGCATCTGAATCATGAATCTCATAAATGATGAATCATGAACCACAGGTCACAAATCATAAGGAAGTAATGACCGAATGTAGGAAATTCACAACATGCTGAACTCTAACAGCAAAACTCAGCCAGAGAGCCGTGCAGAGGGAAAGACCATTGATCCACAAGACCAGTGATGGAGGATGGGTGAGTGAACGAGACGTGATAGTGATTCCTTCTCTTCCTCTTTCCCTCTATCCACATCAGACATCTAAAGACAGCGAAGGATGAAGGGGATGAGAGGCCCTCGGGGTTTAGTGTGTGAAGCTGGGCGACCTTTAATGTGACCTGAAGGGGTCAGTGCAGATTTCTGTGCCTCTATCTCTATCCATAAGTGAACAGAGAAGGAGAGAGAGAGGATTTGAAGGGAAAAAGAGAAGAAGATTAAAAAAGTGAGGAAAAAAAGAGGTGAAACAGATTGCAAAAACAGTATGGAATAGATGGGTACACTCACTGTGTCACCTCATAATCATAAAATAAGAAAATGTACACAAAATGCGATTTAAATTTTTCCTTTCTCTTTGAAGTGTTACAAGCTCTTGGTGCATAAAGAAGATCTGTAAAGTTGCAACATTACACCAAATACAGAAAATAATGTTCTTTTTAGCAACATCATATGACCCCTTTAAATTAAACACTTCCCAAAATGGTAAATTACTATTATGAAATACTATTATGAGCATGACTACAAAATGATGAAAATTCAACATTCAAATATTACGAATATTAAACCTTTTTCTGGTTTACGAACATTATTTTATGCATAATTTTGAGCATCATTATACTTCTTTTTTTAAGATTTACGGTCAAATGTAACTCCCCATTTAAATCAATTTATTTCTTGACATGACCAAGCTTTGACCAATTTGTGATACTGCATCACTCTTTTTTTTTTTTAGAAGTCTTCTTTCAATGGCTATATCGTATAGATGCTTTCTTTCAGTTCATAGCAGAAAATTAAAAAGCGGCACAGCTTACCCCGATCTCCCCTATAGGAGTGTTCAGAGATCCAGAGGACTGGATACAGCTTTGAAAAACTTAAACTGAAAAGTCTGCTTGTGTGAATGGGTGGTGTAAGTATGTGTGTGTGTGAGCATGCTTGCATCTCGGTCTCTGTCAAACTTTGCAGAGCCCTGCAGCTATCCTTCCTCCACACCCAAAGCTCGCACGTGCACATACACATATGCAGAGCATCCCACAGGAGCCGAGGCGTGAGTGGCAGGCCGGGGCAGGAGGTGGAGAGACTAGCCAAGAGGCAAACAGGTGCAGCCCCTCTGGATTCTCTCAAGTGGCATACATTAAAAGGAGGAGGGAAAAAAGTCGAAAAAGATGAAAACATCCCTGAGGATGGGCAGGCTGAACACACTTTTTTCCAGAGCGACTGTCTTTTTTTTTTTTTGCGAAGGAAGCAGTTTTTTGTCTATACATTTCCTTTTTTAACAGAAAATTTTACTTTGATTAAAAATGAGTTTAAATTTAGTTTTGAGTATTTAGTTTGAGCACAGCATCAAGTAACAGATATATTTAAACGTACAAGTTATTTATACTGAGATTAATCTTGTATAAAACTCATGTAAAATGATATCAATACAAAACCGTGAACACACAAACAAACACTACATTTTTCATGACATTATGTTCGTGCGTTTTGGAGCTGTTACCAGCCACTGGAAGCCACGTATGAAGTGCGCCGGCACTAGTGATGCTTTATCTGATAAAGTTAGCGTTGAAAGACGGCTGTTACCCACATGGCCTCAGCGGAGACAGGCCTCCACACACACACACTTCCCTGCCCCCATTCCTCCTCTCCAACCCCCACCCTTCTCAACGTCCTCCCGGAAAGCCCCCGTCCAGCCCCCTCGCTTTATTCGGCATAACTGACGCAGAACCGGGGGTGGCTGCGCACTATTTCCGGTAACACTTCCGCACAGAGGGAGTCAGGGAGGGTGCTTCAAAACAAAAACAGAAAAAACCTGGGCTTCGATTCCCGCCTACATGTACATACACACACACACATTCACACCATCACACACACTCTGTCACTCAGGCATGGAAAAAAATATTGAATATGAATTTCCTCTAAGCAGCATTTCTATGAATAAGCTCGCCCACACTTAATGTCTGCCCTTCAATGAGACGAGATATATATACACATTTGTACAAAACACACACACACACACACATAAATATAAAACCACACATGTAAACTCGAAGTGAGTAATCAGCTTGGTTGGGGTTTCTGTCTTAAGTCCCATAAAACTCATGAGCTGAGACGCTTCGAACTTATGAGAGATGTTCTCACCGTCTCCTCATAGAAAAACCTCACAAGAGGGAGCAAGAAATCAGCAGAATTACAGCACAGTAAAGCTGCCCTTAGATAAGTAACAAGCCAGGAAAAAAATTATAAAAAGTTATATTGGGCTGTAACAAGCAAGTACTGTATAAAAAAGACACACACTGTGAC